TTTAAGTACTGAAATGTGTATTTTTTATTATGCGAAATATATTACTACAGACTTTTGCTCTAACTCTATGACAGCTACATGAAACTGTTAAAACGTTATTTATATTCTTATTGTTTTTGAATTCGTGTTATAATTTTTCTTATATGATCAATTTGCAAATCACGACAATTAATAAAGAAATTATCAATTTAAAAAATGTATGAAAAGAGTAGGAATGATTTAGTATTTTAAAATCTAAAAGACCGTAGTAACGGGTCTGGGATGCGTTCGTGTGAAATAGCAATCTAAGCCTTTACGATAAATTTACGTCGCATTTCTAGCAAGGCAGCTTGGCTTGGGATTTATCCCGTGGGAAATCTATTAGTTTCGTTCGGCGAATTTCGCAATATTACTGCGGTAAGGCAGGGTTTGAAGGCGGCCGAATAATCGAACATCGATTCGTTAAAGTCGATAGCCGATTGTAAATAGTACGGAATTGACGTTCGTTACCTGTCGGAATCAAATGTGAATGCTTGCCGGGAAAAGTGCCCGTTATATTTGAGCACGTATTCTATGATAATCACAATTATCGTTAACAGAATGATACACAGTTTGCATTGGACGATATTCAATAAATGTTTTATGAAATGTATAGTATAGAACTGGAGGAAAAGGAAAACTTATTGACAATCTCATAGAGGAAGGAAAAAGCGTGTGGGAAATCTGCACGTGATGCCGTTTGTTCCCCACGCGTGTTCGTTCTTCGCGCTTCCTACGAAAATGTCAATGCCGCCCTTTTCCGCCTTCTGTTTGTGATGAGAAATAATCCGATCTCTCGCTATTGGCTGACGCGCATCTATTGTACCGCGTACAATACCGTACAATACGTACCAATACCAATGAATAACGCGAAAATACGTGTGCGGCGCTCTTCAATATTTATTTCATTACTTTGTTCTTCAGCACTTGCCAAGTCAGCTAGTCAAATTGGTTTTCGTCCAATCTCTCGTACCCCTTTTCACCTTTTACACGCCGCGTTCTCTCGCACGCCGCGTAATCAGCTCTGACACAATATATCTCGAGTCGTCCCACTTTTCATTCACGGCGCGATGCAAACATCGGGATGTTTACTGCAGTTTGAACGTACAAGTGTCCCCGTGTTCTTTGCGAGGGGACGTTTCACTAACAGCGAAACGCGGCGAAGGAGAGAGAGACACGTTCCTTCCCTTCGCCAGTATACATTCGAAAGGTATTTTATTAACGGCGAATGAAACAGACAGCGCGGACAAAAGCTAACGTGCCATATTGTTCGGACAATACATTGGACGGGACAGAACACGCAACACGAGCCGCGCGCAATTGCACCGACTTGCATTCCGAATGCACGCGAGCGATGCGGTCGCTGACTACAATTGTGGTCTCTCCGCGCGGACTGCTATCCCATGGGAAAACTAGATCGCGCCGACGCCCTTTTTTTCCCTTCGTTAAACCTTATCTATTAAATTAAGCTAAAGATCTCTCATTGAATTTGCACTGCTATTCTTCATACTGGCATTCGGTCGCGACAGTGGAAAGCATATATACACTCTCTCTATCGTATCTATCTATACGCGGCAGTCAGTTTCTTGGCAGAGCGAATTCCCGGTAAAACCTGGCTTACAGAGATTGCGTAACGCACCAGAAACAAGTGTCTAAAAGAGCTCCCGTTGCATCGTTCCGACGGGCGTGAAGTTTACGAAGTAATCAGAAAGGCAGAGAGAGGGGGACCGTGCCCGCGCGCGCTACACACATTTACGCGAGTTTGAAACTCCACCTTCGCAACCTCAATCTCCTCCTATTATAACGTCTACGACGATGAAACGAAAATATATCTCCGGCGCCAAGTTTTCGGGGGGAAAGGGCTGAGTTCAGGGCGCGGGGCGCAAGTTATTAGACACGCCCGCGCAATAAAATTATGTTTCGCCCCGTGTATCCGCCCGGGCGGGAAGTCACGTCGATTACGTGATACCGCGTCGAGGCTCTTTTTGATCATTCCCTACCCGTACCCATGCGTGCTCACCCCCGATATCGACGAGCCGTAATCGGATGACCGAAAATGAGCCAACTCTTAAAACAGTTTTAAATTCAACCTGGAAAGCAAGTAATTAGTAATTCTTTCCAACCAGTTTCTCTAACGGGCAAGAAACTTCGGGCTACCCTCTAATTGTGAGGAAACGAACGGGGAGCGAGGTGAAGGGAGGGAAAAAAAGAGGAGAGGGGCAAAAAGAGGAAAAGGATGACATCCGCCGCCGCGCCGGTGAAAGCGAAGGCACGTGTTTCAAGTATCTTCCGAGCGAGGAATCCTTGATATTAATTAGATGAGCTCGTAACTCTGAAATCGGAGGAGTAAGAAGCCGAACTTCGTTTGGGAGTTCGTTAAAGGAGTTACTCGCGTTCGTATGGCGGCGGATATCCTAACTCGCGTAACGACTCTTAACGCGATGGTCTCCCTGCTTTCTGTCTCCTCCTCTCCTACTTCTCCTTGTCTTACCCCTCTCACCCCCTTTCACCCCCCTGTAACGAACGCAAAGTTCCTAGCGTGAAACGTGTCCCTACTTTCGTGGATGCTCACAATTTGTTGCACGCGACATCCGACGCGTGTCGCGGAGTTAGACACGCGAGTTTTTTCCTAGCTGCTTTTTCTCTCCCTCCCCCTCTTCGTCTCTGGCAAATCCTTTGCGAAAACATTAACTTTAAAGCGCAAATTTCTCTGGAAAATCTCTTCGTGCTGTGAAACCAATCGTTTTCACCATCCTCGGACCCTTTGTTAATAATATCCTGATTCTCTCTCTCTCTCTCTCTCTCTCTCTCTCTCTTTCTCTCTCGACGCGAGAAAATTAAAAAATATTTTCCAGCTTATTCCTAGTCAGTTTATACCGCGAGATAATTAACGGAACGACGGTGAAACTACAATCGAGGACATAGCATGAATAGCCGTTTGTTTCAGCTGATACAATATCCCGGCGCGCGGTTTACTTTATTTTATTATTTTATTCGCGCGCATTATGTTTAAAGTCAAAAGGCTATTACCGCGGAAAAACTTTTATCATACAAAAATTTTTATTCTACTCAGCTGAACTTTCAGCCGAGATAAAAGGCGCGCTTCGCGCGCCATACACTTGCGTAAAATAAAAATCGCGTTTGGTGAAGGGGGGGCGCGGGGATGATCGTAGGCGGATTAAAGACCCTCCGTGGAGCCATCTCCGAGCTATTTCGTGAAACGCGTTGCGACGTCGAATTATCGATCTATCAACCGCTGTAATATTTTAGAACGAACGAAGACAAATATTTAATGTAATTTGACTTTCAAAAAGCGATCATACGCGATATCGGCAAATTTTTTGTTTTCAAAATATCGCGCCGAACTCGTGATCCGGTGAGAATTTCGCGGCACGTCTCGGGCTCGCCGCGAGGAGCTTCCCCGATCCGCCGCCCGGATGGCAGCACCTGCCGCGGCGTAGCACAACATGGCCGCCCTGGTGTTGGCATCGCCATGGCAATTCTCTTGGCAGCTTCCTAAACCGTCGCCTTTTTTATACATTTTACACGAGTTTTTCTAGTATCTCAACGCCTAGGAGCATAGATATAGTGTGTGCGGTGCGTGTGCTATGATGTAACTGCGGCGCGCGGAGGCGCCCGAAAGATCGTCGCGGAGCGCGGTGAGTGTTTTCCTTCGCGTTCTCGCTTGCGCTGCGAGTGACTCGCGAGAACGTCTCGCGCCGTGTCTCGGTCCCGTCGTCGGTCGTCCGTCGAACGAATCTCGTGCCGCGCGAAGTCGCCAGGATCGATTCTACAAGGCGAGCGCACGTGATACGGAACAACGAGCGACGATCGAGTCCGAGCGTCGCGTTGCGGTCAGTGTCAGTGTCGTCGCGCGCGCTCGTCGTCCGCGAGATCTGTCACTCGTCCCGTAACCGTCTCCCCGTGTGTCGCGCAGTTTTTCCGTTCATTCCCCGTTTCTAGTGTACGTGCGACGCGACCGGCCTCCTCGCCGGCACGCGGACATGCACCCGGCGCTCGTCGATCCGGGAGAATTCCTTCGCGAGAGTTGACAGTTCTTCTGACGCATCGTGTGCCACGAGACTGCGCCGGTAAACAATCCCGATTGTTTACCGATCCCGCGACGCCGATGACAGTTGCGTGCGCGAAATCAATTGACGCGTCACACGCTGATTTCTGTCAATGGGACGACAGACCGGTTTCCTATCGGCTTTGTTTTCGTTGTTTTCCACATAAAGGTTTAATTATTTTTACCGACGAAAGTGTAATTGTTAAATTTACATGGAAAAAATATTTAGACTTGAATTAATCGCAAATGTATACAAAAGCGCGATATAAAATTGCTGGGGGGCTGGCTACGTAAATTCATAGAATTTGACAGGCAAATTAAATTCGTGTTTACATTTATTTAACTCATAAGCAAGTTATACAAAATCAATACGGTAGAAAAGACCGAAATATACGAATTAATTCTGTTTGTATCGAGAATAATGAAATATGTATGTATTTTATATATAAAGTGTATTTCGACACTTCACCGGCGCGGCGCCGCGCGCCGCGCCGCACCGCGCCGGTGAATAAACGAACGTCGCCATGGTAACCCGCTCCGTCCACGAGTATTTCGCGTGTTGTGACAGCCGGCCGGAAATGTGGAATAAGCGCGAGATCGAATATCGCACAATTGCTCCTTAATTCGCACGTTCTTTTTTTTCTCTCTCCCATCGTCGTTGTTATCGCGCCGCAAACGATTCTTCGCGTGCACGTCGTCCGCGTGTCGTCGTCGTGTCTCTAAATTGTCACCCGGACCGTCGACGGTATGGTCGACGATACTTATATACTGAATATTTTGCCTCTGATATTTTATTTGTAAACGCATTAGAAACGTGGTTAACAATAACATGCGAAGCGTTCCTCGAAGCACACGGAGGAACGTATTGATTTTTCCGCTGAAATTAACGTGTCTCTGCAATGTTTGCTTTCAGGGTGGACCTAGCTACGTTCCGAGTCTGTCTGAAAAGCGACACAGGTGCGTACCGACAGTGGCATCCCGCGGAAGTAGTCCAGTAACTTTAGGATTTCACTTCGGAAAAATTCCAAGTGAGCTGAATTTTTGCATGCACTTTTATTTAGCCTTTATAAATAATACATATCAAAAGACCCCATTATTTGATTGTACGCATAATATTTTACAGCGCATAAAAGATGTTAATTGATTTTTCGCTACTATGTTCCTATTGATTTTACGACTATAACGTCTATTTTGAAAAGTAAAGACGAGAAAATTCTCTACAAAATAGGTCTTAGGTAGTTTTTTCGTACACCCAATCGTTTTCGCTTAATCTGGCGTTGAAAATGCAAGTTAAGAGAGTTATGGGTATTAAAGTGCTTTGTTTCACACACTTGTAATTCTTTTGTACAAAATGACATAAAATTATATTTTTCTTTTTTTTTTCTACTTATTTTTCGTTTTCATCTTCGTTTGAATAAATACATATTGTTGGAGATAATCCATAGGATTAATTTGTGGGTTGTCAATTTCTTCGTTTTTATTGACTTCTGTTTCGGATGAATCGTCGATTGGTGCAACACTTATGCTGCAATATGTGTCGGTAATATGGCGGTTAAAGTTACTGGACTAGAGGGATGTACGAAGTATCTGTGCAGTAGCGACCGATGTAGCACGTATGTTTGTTATTGTTTGTTTATTTACCTTTCGCATATTATTTCTCGCTGGCCGCATATGAAAACGATTTTTCATATCTATTCGTTGCTTCTTTCATTTTGTTTGATTATATATTTTAATTACAGCCACGTTGAAATTGAGATATATTCCTAAAATTCAGTTTTCGCTTTCTTTAGATTGTTTAGATGCGATCTCTAAACTTTCTAACAAAATAAAATTGTAGTATATACATTTTATTGTAGTAATATTGCCGAGGTTAGTGAAATTGGCCCTAAGTCATAACATTATTCATGAAACGTTGCAGAGTATTGATAACAACTTTATTTACTTGCAGAATATACGTGGTCTTAAGTCTCATTTACGATGAAAGATAATGCCAAGAGTATAAATCATGGTTTTAATTAACCGTAGATGATAACATTATCGATATTTATATATGAGGTCATTCCGTAGCTACTGAATTTTCTTCTTTGTTTTATACACTCTTAATTTGCATATATACATACGTTTATCGATAATATTTTCGTTGCCCTACTTGTTCGTTTCTTCTGACGCTTACATAAACATTTGTTCTACTTCACATCGATTCCTGTTCATCCATTTCTTTCTCACCGCCACTTTTGGTATAAAACTTTTCGTTAAAATTAAAGTATTATTACAGAGAAGTAAATTCACTATATAAAAATAAAAATTTGAAAGTATAAGTTTATATAAATCATAGATTTTTTTTTATACTTGCATGTATTTTTATTGCTATTAATATATAATGATATGTATATTTTTGTAAATATAAATCAATTTATTTACACTGGATCAAAATTAGAAATATCGCAGATCAGTTTTATTGTATAAATTTCAGTGGTATCTCAAGATAATAAAGCAATAAAAATTTGTCTCATACTCTCGTAATAGATAATAAATCGTGTACGGCTCGAGAATAGATCGAACTTATATTCTTAAACACATACTGCCTGAATAAAACTGGCAAATAGTGAGAAATGGCTTATTATTAATAGTGTACTTACTATTAATAATAACAATGCAGTAAATTTGTATTTGGTCGTCAAGCTTGGAGAGCTTGGGTGTTTGGGTAAATTTAGTGCGTGTTACGCCTAAGTTGTAGTGTCTATGACGGTCCTAATTTGCGCTCTAAATCTTCAAGGAGCAAACAGCCTATTTCATGGAACATATTTTTCGTAGTTGTTAGGGTCCACATTGTCCAAATTGTAATAAAATCTTATGATAAAAGTATAACATACTGAACTTCTTCTTTAGTTAAATCATAGTTAAAAGCTAAAAATAATTTGTTATATATACATATAACTGTAGGTATAATCAAGAAGAATAAATTAACTTGCCGATTGAAAATTATCATTTTTCCGTGACGGAAAATGTAAACAAACATAATAGTCCAGTAACTTTAGGCAAAAATTCGACCACTCTTTGGAAAAATTTTAAGTGAGCTGAATTTTTGCATGCACTTTTATTTAGTCTTCTTTAGTTAAATCATAGTTAAAAGCAAAAAATAATTTGTTATATATACATATAACTGTAGGTATAATCAAGAAGAATAATTTAACTTGCCGATTGAAAATTATCATTTTCCCGTGACGGAAAATGTAAACAAACATAATAGTCCAGTAACTTTAGGCAAAAATTCGACCAATCTTTGGAAAAATTTCAAGTGAGCTAAATTTTTGCATGCACTTTTATTTAGTCTTCTTTATAAATAACATATCAAAAGTCGCCATTATTTGATTGTACGCATAATATTTTACAGCGCGTAAAAAGGTGTTAAAAATTGGTTTTTCGCTAATATCTACGTTCCTATTAATTTTACGACTTTCCTATAATCTCATCTTCCACATCCAGTATCTTAACTTCATGCATTTTAAATTTTGGATTTTTCAAAAAGATGTAATGTTATTTATAATATTATAATATCATCAATAGAACTCGAGGTCGTCTTATTTCGGCACAAGAAATATGTCAATGGTCCATTTTTTCTCTTGACATAATAAAAGATTTTGCATGGAGTTTTGAAAATGCTTAGATGTATTAGCATTTATCTTGAGCAAAAACACCATACAGCTGAAGTTTATGTTCTTTTTGGTTTGCGAGAAAATTTGCCGCAAACCAAACATATATTTTGAAAAATAAAGATGAGAAAATTCTCTGCAAAAAAGGTCTTAGGTAATTTTTTCGTACACGTAATCGTTTTCGCTTAATCTGGCGTTGAAATTGCAAGCTAAGACAGTTACGGTTATTAAAATACTTTATTTCACACACTCGTAATTCTTTTGTACAAAATGACATAAAATCATACTTTTTCTTCTTCTTCTTCTTCTTTTTCGCCTTCTACTTGTTCTTTGTTTTCACCTTTGTTTGAATAAATGCATTGTTGGAGGTAATAAGATTAATTTGTGGGTTGTCAATTTCTTTGTTTTTATTAACTTCTGTTTCGGATGAATCGTCGATTAAGTGCAACATTCAGACAAGATTGTCCGCGAAAATTACCGCGGACTGATGAACAGTGAAGTCCTAATTTCTGACAGCCACACAATGGTCTCCAACCTTTTGAACAAATGCAAAAAATCATGTTCAAAAGACAATCCGAAGCAGGAAGTTGTGATTTTTTTTGGGTCCAATAAATTATTCTTTAATATTCATTTTCAAACCTTGGGATTTAGTTCATTACCTACCACTTTTGCACTTGATAATAAACTCGAAATCTATTTGTAGGTGGTAATAAATTCAACTTCACTGGTTTTTTTCCGATTTCTTCAAATGGAATACGATTCTTCCTGAGCATACATGGTGTTCCAATTAAAAAAGCCTCCAGTAATACGTATCGTTATTTGTGCTTCACCAAATCTATAGGTAAAAATCTATAGACTTCAGAAATCTGAAATGCCATATTACCGACACATATCGCAGCATTAACATCTTTTTTGGTAACTTACGAACGAAGATAAGTCCTTGTACCGACAGCAGCAGTACGTGTGTATCGACTGCTGATCCACGACTAGGTTTCTGCATTTATCGACTTACAGTCTGTGCGACCTTTCTACATGTCGATAATACTTTTTCTTGGTTGTTATCGATATCGTTGGTTTCCATTCGTTGAAATGGCAGTCAACAGTTTTCTACAGTTGAAGCAGTCGCCACATTGTTATTGCAGAAAATCTTTATGTCCGTTTATTGATAAATAATTTATTATTCTGCAAGAATTTGTAGAAACTCACTCTTCACTTTATATGAACTCGTCCTTTTTCTTTCTTTTCCATTTTACCGCTAAGCTACTGTGATATAAGTCACTTTGATTCCGTTGTGAATAATAATTCTTCTGTATTATAAAAATCCTATGTATACTCAAATATTAATTGAAGTAGAAATGTTTCCTTGAGATTACATATGTATATATAAATTTCTTTCGTGCATTTTTTGTCTGCACGTACTTTGCTTATAAATTTTTTTAAAAGGTGTTTAGCTAAAGGCAGATTTTAGAATGTTATATACATATATTAAAATAAGCAAAGCTATGTGGTGCTTATTAATTCACAATAAAACCTAAATGCACGTACAGTTTGAACTGATTTCTATTTATTTCTTAAAATAAAGATATCTGCTATACACAAATTACTAGTTAAATCTGTGTTTTATTGAGTCTTAAAATTATTATATTTCTACAAATTCTTGCAGAATAATAAATTATTCCGCGTACACGTGAGCGAACTTTCAACTGCGCGCGCGTTTGTCGGGTATTATTTTTAATCACTCAATAGTTCGCTCGAATGCCCGAGTACGAATCTCGAGGCAATGCGATTATCCTGTAATTGGATTACGTTTGACTTCCACCTGTTTTCATGCAGATACGCCGCGCTCGCTTCTTTTCACATCGCCGGTAGCACCGAGGTGCCAATATCGTTTTTTTCCCCCTCTGCTTTTTTAATGCAGCAATTCACGCGTGCTAACTTTCAGTGGCTCGACGCAACTTATAACAGTACAATCTAACGGTATATTTCCCAATAAAAAATATATATTGTGAATTACAATGTTGCTTTTAAATCACAATACGTTTGATCAATATTTATACTCATAAATAATTTCTCTATTCTCTTTAAATTAAAAAGAAAAGAGAGAAAAGAAGGAAACAATATAAATTCACAGTCGAGGACTGGTTTACACGTTTGTCATAGATTTCAAATTTCTTGTTGCCCGCCTGGCAACATCGCCAAATAAGAGGATGTTAATGTAAATTCACAGTCGAGGACTGGTTTACACGGTTGTCATAGATTTCAAATTTCTTGTTTAACATCCTCTTATCTTTTTTAAATTTACCATGAATCATGAATTCCCCTGCCGTGTGAGGGGGAGCATCTGGCCTCCGCGTTATATTGTGTCAAAGGGGCGA